AAATGAATTTACATGCTAAAAGAGTTCGGTTATCAAAAGAGTGTGACTCAACAATTTCCTAGTTTTCATAATCCAAACAATAACAACATAACCCTGCAATATATTAAAAAATGTGGTTATAACTTATGAATTCATCTTTATCAATCCTAATAGGAATTGTTAAAAATATTTAAAAAAAATAAATTTACCTGCTAAAAATATTATGTAGTAAAATCTTGAAATGAACATAGCCTCTATATACTACGTGATTGAAGATTTTCCATCAGTCGTATGCCTATATGAATTGTTTCAACCAAATCAGCAAGATCACTAATAGACAAACATAATAAAAGTTATAAGAAAATGATGAATAAAACAAAAGGTAGCAATATTAATTCTAGAAAAATACGATACATTTCTTTTTGCAAAAAATGTCATTTTAAGTAACCATTTGCACTTATCAAGCAAGACCCCCTTGCTTTAAGAAGCATTTATTCATTACTTGTTTATTATACATGCTTACTTATGTCTTCTATAGTTGACTTGCGATATAGAAACTGTAATAGAAAAAAGATACTTGCTTGACTTGGACCTCTATCATCTCCTTGAGTCAATTACAAGATATTTAAAAGAAATTAGGTGTAATTCAATCATAACAGAAAAGAACCAACCTTTTTGGTTTTTTGTGTGCATTAAATGTCTTGATCAAATTAAACAGGAAGTAGGTCATCCCTTGATCTGTCTGATCATAAAATAACTTGTAAAGAAGAACACGTGCAGTTTGAGGCTCCCTAGAATCATCTGGTGATATCTTAAGCACCAAATCTAACATGTTTATATACAAAAACAGGAGAAAAAAACACTTAGTATTTTTAAGTAAAGCTCAAAGAGTCAGCTAAAGACAAAAAAACATTAAAAAAAAAACACACACACGCACCATTATTTTCATGAGAGATCCAGCAACAGAAAGAAATTTCTAGTCATGTGTCTCCTTCAAACCATCAAATATAGAACGCCACTTTGATACAACAAGTAGAAACATTGTCTCATTCATTGTTTTAGAAATTGACCCGCATATATTTGCTTCAAACAATGTGCTTTCAGCATCATGATCTTTAGAAGTTTCAGATACATTGACTTCAGCATCAGGCTATTAAAGCATCAAAAGCCCATTAAAGAAATATATATTTTCAAGCCCTTTTAAGATGAAACCATTAACAAAGATCACACCTTTGAAGCAAGTAACTTGAGATTCTGGAAAGACATAATAAATTCAGCAACCTGGAAGAATATAACAACATCGTTGTTTTCAATAGCATGGTGTTCTTTCTCAATATCCTCATGAATTGACTTCATTAACACTGTTGAGAATACATATGGACTGATTAGTAATGAGTAATGACACCACAGATGACAACATATAGTTTCATTGAGAATACAGTATTTACCATTATATCCTCCTAAAAGGAACTGATTAGTAAAATCATGGAGCAACCTAAGGATATTCTTGTTTGTTGTTGGCATTCTTCCATTCTCCCATGGCATCTTTTTTGATGAATCACGCTGGTTTTTATGACCTAATGAATCATGGATCCACAGCTAAATGAAAAGCTTTTACCATAGTAACTCGGGTGAATGATCCACTGAACTTTGATCGAGCACCAATATTTAATGAATCATGGCATTCTTCCATTCTCCCATGGCATCTTTTTTGATGAATCACGCTGGTTTTTATGACCTAATGAATCATGGATCCACAGCTAAATGAAAAGCTTTTACCATAGTAACTCGGGTGAATGATCCACTGAACTTTGATCGAGCACCAATATTTAAAAGCATTGTTTGCCTTCTTTTTTCTTTTTTATAATTAACCCTAGTTGTTCACTGTAGTGAACTTAAAATGCTAAATTAGAGTAATGAGCAACAAAGAAATTGAACATGAGAATGAACTTATTGGAGATGGAGTGGATGATGGGATGACCTAAATGGAAACTTCGCTGCATTTTGTGGCTAAGAATTCAGATTCGAAGAATCCTGCATTTCAACGATCCACGTAGAGCCTTCACCTCACTTAATGCAATGAATAAGGAGACACTTGACGAAGGAGACGATGGATTTCGGATTAACACCGCCATCGGTGCGGCGAGTTCTAGAATGCGATGAAGATGGAGATTTATGTGATAGCATTTTTAAAATTGGATGACCTGTTGGCCGATTAAAATTGTCAAAATGAATAAATTTATGGTTTTTGGGATTTAATTGACTAAAAAATAATAATGACTAAATTTAATGAACACCTTTCATGTCAATCAAATCGCAGATATATGCCTCTCCACCTTTTATTAAGTAACCCAAAATATTTCCCATTTCCAAAGTTTTTGACATTTTTCACATTCTTCTGTTACCGAACCCAATGGAAATAGCCCGTAGATAAAATTAAAAAAAAAACACTAGAAGTGAATTATATTACATACATTTATTAACATAACTTTTATACCCTAGTTATATTTAATTATTACATTATTATTATTTTATGCAATTTTCTTGACGTGTAGCATTGTTAGTGGATTACGTAAATTCTGTCAAGTTATTCATCATAGAAGCTTGTGCTTCATGAGCAATTAGATAGGAGTAAAACTTAGGTAGAGTTACTTCACGTTAATCGCCCAGAATGGTGATGGTTGTGAAGAGATCACCATGACCCGGTCCCAAACTAGATAGTATGTAGCCAATTACTTCTTCACTAGTTATTGGATGGCCAATATTTGCCATCCTGCCAACTAGACCGGTCATCTTGTGGTAGAATTTTGAAGCACTTAAGTCACCATTCCTTGCAAGTGAAAGTTGAGTGTGTATTTGGATGGATTTCCCTTTTTGTTGTGCATAAAACATAGTATGAAGCAAAGTCCACAACTCATTAGACGTATTGGTGCATAAAGCAAGTTGGACAACTATGTCTTTTGTCATGGATAGCAGGAGAGCACAAATGATTGATTGATCTTGAACAACCCACACATCATGTTATGGATTTGTGATCTCTTTCACTTCTGCACCTGTTGCAGTGGTTTTAGTGTCATCGAGGTAGCTAAAGAGCTGAACGCCTCATAAAATTGGAACAACTTGAGCCTTCCAAAGTACGAAGTTAGTTCTGGTTCATTTGCATGATATGTTAGAAATATGGTTTAGTGGCACTTGGAAATCTGAGAATCGTGATAATCACTTTCAAATCGAAGTATTTGGGTGGTACTCCCAAATCCTCAATTGGATAAGACTCAGATAAAATCAAAGAGAAAGAAAGAGAGAATGAGATGGTGTAATTTTCGTGAGTACCAGAAAACTGACTAAAATTGGTTATATACATTCCTTGTCTGAAAAACTGTCAAAACTGTTATATAACAGTTTTCTCAACAGTCAAAACTATTATAAATCCGGGTTTGGTATAAGGATTAATGCAAAGTCAAAACCGGGTCAAATATTCAAAATCCGGGTTTGCCCTTGTACCCCGCCAGGGGCTGCCGCCCCTTGGACCCCGCTCCCAGGGGCGCTGCCCCCGGACCCCCGTTCGTTCAGGGGTTTCGACCTTAAATGACAGTGTACTTTGATACTTGATCAAACTTAAACAAGTGTGTACTCCACACCTTCCTTACTTGTTTAATATTTATCAAGATCATTTTTAGTCAACAAAGTAATCCCATTACACTTAAATAACATTGATGATAACAAATCACCAACATGATATACCTGTAGGTATCTTAAAGGAATTTATGGAAGAAGTCACAGTGAAGATTAAAGTGGAAGGAGACAAGGATGTCGGGGGTGGTGATGAATGAAGCGAACACATAGGATTGGCTCTGATACCAAGTTGAGAAGGGTATTTGGCGTAACTAATCCCATAGGGATGTATTCGATTATATATATGTACAGGTATAGTTACAAGATAGAGATAAACATTAGATCCTAATCTATACAATACAACATTTGAATCATTCTAATCTATCTATTAGGTACTCGTTTTACAATCTATCTAATTAAGATTACAACTTCTCTTTCTATTTGAAATCCTAAAAGAAGAATGTTAAACTTTAAGTAACGTTCGGTGGTGAATTTTTTTCCAATTTTTCGTAAAAAACGTCAAATGAAAATGAAAAAAAAAATTGAAAATGTGTTCTGTTGATTTAGTTTTCAAAAATTTCGAAGAAAACGAAACATTTTTGTTTTTCTAATTATACGTAAATTATAAAAGTGATTTTTATAGTTTCCCAATGTTTTTTAAATTTCTAATATGAAAAATGAAAACTAAACTTGTTTCAACCAAATGTATTTTTAATATTTTTTTTTACTGAAAACTAAAAATAAAAATTTAACTTTATTTCTAAAAAAACATTCTAAAAAATAGGGATGCAAACGCACCCAAGCCGAACCCAAGGCTGGTCAGGCTCGACTGAGACTTGTTTAAGTTATACAGGTGCCGAGCTCGAACTTGCCTTGATTTGAGTTTTATTGTACTGAGTTCGGCTCGAGCTCGTGGAGAATTATAAAATCTCTCATTCGTGCTTGAGCTCAACTCGTTTTTTGTCTAATATGCATAAATAAGTTTAAGTTCAATTTGAGTTTGTCAATAAGCTTGTTTACAAAATCCCTAAATCCTTAATTTTCAAATATGTTTTTATTTTAATATATAAAAATTATAATAAATTATATTATATAAACATATGTTTAAGCTCTCGGTCTTAATCAAGCTTAACGACATAGACTCGAGTTCGAACTCGTTTAATAAATGAGCTTAATATTAAGCTCGAGTTCGGTTCAGACTCATTTAAAATCGATTTCGAGTCAGAGCTTTTAGCAACCTGATCTCTAATAGCTCACGAGTACTTTGACTCATTTGTACACCTAATAAAAACAATGAAAACAATTTTTCACAACCAAACATACCGTTAACTTTCCTAATTAATAACCAAAGGCATCACCAAAGGGCTTCTAACCCAACGGTATCCGGTGTTGCCCTCCTTTCTTGAGGTTGAGGATTCAAATCTCATTTTAGACATAGGTGGATTTAAGGTGTAGTTTAGAAGTAGATTAGATTTATCGTTTAAAAAAAAATAAAAAATAAAAAATAACCAAAGGCATCAGTACCAACTCGAGTTCCCATTCTAATTTTCGTGTGGGTGTTGAGAACACTTATTTCACAACACCTATAATAAGTCTATTATTCTTCATGAAATTCCTTTAATAAGTGTACATTTGTTATGATGGTTGATAAAGAATTAAAATGACAAGCCCGTTAAAGAAACGCATTAATGCATTATGAAGAATATTTGGACAAAAAAACGAAACAAGTTGTCCACATGTCCAATTTCTATTCATGAACAAAGAAGAAAATATTTTCATCCACCATTGTTGCATTGCATCATGCACTCCATCCTTGCAACTACAATATTCCATTATCAAGAATGACTTGGATCATACTAAAACCAACAAATAAATGGAGATTGCACTTTAGCTACAGACAACATTGCTCCAACAATAAAATAATAAGCCAAAAAAGAAAATCAAGCAATCAATCAAAAACCTAATCTTTCTTTACATCATGGTTTTGTACATAGATGTAAGATAGAACAAAAAGCCAAAACTTTTGTGGTAAAGTCCAAAATATCTTTGTCAAAAAAAGGTTTATATCATTTTATTTAAGTTTCATAAAGTTTTAGATAATAAATTGTGAAGAAAAATATGCTTGATAACAAGATGACGTTCTTATATATATATATATATATATATATATATATATATATATATATATATATATATATATATATATATATATATATATACACACACTAGTCGTTTACCCGTGTAAAGTAACGAGTGTAAATTGTTTTCTTGAAAATTAGTTTCTGGAGACAATTAGTTATTTTACGTTGATAGTTTACTACATCAAATTTTATTTTATATGTATGTTGATGTTTTGATGTGTTTGTCGTTTTGTTAAAAATGATTGTAATAATTTATTTATTAATATGCTATGTGACAAATTAAATAGATTAGTTTTCTTGATTTATTTGTGTAAGTAATAGATTAGTTATAGAATTAATTTATTTGTATAAAAATATAACAAAAAATGAAAATGAAATCATTTTTTCAAGACTAAAGGGCTTCTAGCCCAGCGGTATCCGGTGTTTCCCTCCCTACTTGAGGTTGAGGGTTCAAGTCCCGTCGTGGACATAGATGGATTTAAGGTGTAGTTTAGGAGTAGGTTAGATTTGTCGTTTCAAAAAAAAAAAAGGGTAATTTTCACAATAAATAAGTGTGAAGTGAAAATAATGATAGTTTTTTTAACCGTAGCTAAAACTGTCATTCATGGTTGTTTGCTTAAGGCTTGTTGGATGTTTTGCGACAGTTACTGCAACACTTTCTGAAAGTGTTGCATGTTGGTGAATTATTACCTTCAAAAAGTTTTTCATCATTTTGCAAGCAATGAGTGTTTTTTCAAGTGGGAACTTCTAAAATAATATTACAATAAGTTTTTTTGTCCCTTTAAATCTCCC